ACGGTGCAGGTTAACTAATATAACCAGTAGCGCAGACCATCAGAGTGTTTGGTGTATTCTTGTTCGCTAGGTGTGTGTACATTTCTTAGCGTCTATTTGGTTTGTTCCTGACTTAAATCTCGCTGAATTATTGCGACGTAGTTGGATTATGGGTTTCAAGAATTGATAAAGGTACGTTCTTGTCTCTTTCTTGAAGATTATAAATCATTTTACTTCGTCAACAGCGAAGTAATGCTAGACACGACACAGCGCTCTGGCGTCATGTTAAAACTTTTAGCAAATCCTTCAATAAACTCCAAAATCTTGCTCCTAAATATCCTATATTCGTCTTACTATAGCATATCATGTTGGTTGTCAATGATTAAGCGATTGACTTCAGCAAATTTGTCTTTTATAACTGTAGTAAAAGTGAATTGTTAACGTTGTTTAGGCTCAGAGATTAGATCATAGCGTGTCATTTATGGTAGTAATTTGCATATTTATATTTGTTTTATCTGAGGACCATTTCAACCATCTCAACCATCGTCCTGTTTATATGTCACTAGTTTCAAATTGTTTATTCCACTGTCAAATTGACTCCTTTCCTTCCTCATGCAGAGGCTTTCAACCAAGAATTTATAGTCTGTTTATATCACAAGAACAAAGCTGTCTGAAAGATTTAAAAGAAGAAACTAGGTAAGGTGGATAAGTTTGACATACTTTTTGAAACTATAGAATGACTGGAATGAAACTACCTGACGGAGTTGGCTTTTACGTCTTGTACATCCACTTAACCAAATAAGCGCAGCGAAGTGCTGTGGCGTCGTATCAAATAGTTCGAATGCGTTGGTCTTCAAAACAATGTGATAATTTGTTAGTCAATTACTTAGCATTTAATCGAGATCATATAAAAATGATTTTTATGAAAGCGTACTGTATAACTCCACGTTAATGAGCGGAATAATTGCATGACGGCATTGACAAGTATCGCTCGGCATTAGCTTTGGCTAATTCTTCTACGACTACGACAGTCAACTGATTAAGCAGAAGACAGCGGCTTCGAATATTTTAATTCCTTGCATAAATTTATTTTCACCATCTCATTGTTGCCTTCAGAAGTTCATTTCAGCTGATATTTATATTTGGGCAGCAATAACTAACCTAATATTAACATATAATTTAAGTTTGAACTGAAATGTCTAAAAAACTACTGAAATTATTAATACATGAAATTATTTGATCATCGAGCACTAGAAAGTGTTGGGATTATCAGCAAGTATCATTTACTCATGTGAGATTTTCGAGTGTCAACGTTCCTTTTAAAAATGCATGTGTTAATATGTTTGTGTGGGTGCATTGATATTATTGATAATCGTTAATTTGTTTTGAATTGTTTTTTTCAGTAAAATATCGTTAGTTTATATTTAAAGTACTTGGTGTTGAACTGAATGTTTGAAGTCAACGTTAGTTGTGGTTTTACCAGGTTTCAAAATATATATCAGAGATCTCGACACAAGATGAAATGAGTAATACGAAGTAATTACGCGCATTAGACCGACAAAAATGCATTTAACGCAACCGCGGATATTTTACAACATTGAGTTGAACAAAGAACCAGCAGGATGCCATCAGGGTGTTTGTTTTATGCTTGTCGGATGGATTTCTGAACATTTCTTACCGTTAATGATCAAAGCCGTTCTAATGATTACTAGCAAGCGGGTTTTCTGCGCAAAACAATACATACATACGTACGCAGATGGCGTTGTGGGGACCTCTGATGGCGTAAGTTTTCCCTACATTGTGGGGACCTGTGTAAAATTTCATAAAACATGCGTTATGGGGACTTCATAGTGTAAACGTTGTGGGGACTTGAAAATTTGAGTGTAATCATTGTGGGGACCATGCAACGTTTGTGTAAACATTGTGGGGACTCGAATGTATAACCATGGTAATTCTTATTGATTTTAAAAGATTAGTCATTTTTAGACAATAGTTAATTCTGATCAGTTTTACAAATTTTAAAACTTAAGCAATGAAACCTTAAATTAAACGACGCTGTATAGTTTATACATTGATTCATCTCTTACACGAATTTATATTATGTCGATAGCAAGTCCGTACCTGATACTCTGCATACAGTAAATCATTTATACCATACAAAACGCGCATTTTGTGCAGTAATCAAATCATTTTGGCTGTATACAGTATTGATTATAAGTATATTGCTTTGTATCGATTTACGCGTCGAAGTATCCGCATCACAGACATAATTTATAGGAGAAAAAATAAGTCGCGACTTATTTAAAGCTAGATTACAGTCGCTTTTGCGCATGTGCGAGCTTTTTTTCAAGCTCCAAGGCCCCCGCGGCGGAGGTAAAAAGACCCTGGGTTCCTGGGTACGAGGTTGGCTTTGTTTACATTTTTTGTTTTTAATCCAGTTCATTTGCACAACATGAAGTATTCCACAACTAAATTAAAATGGCGGACGCGTCAGGAGTGGAGTTTTATAAAACCATTCAACAATTGTCATTTAGATCACTAACATTTAAATATTATAAAAACTACCACTGGAACATATATCGTGGATCAATTTGACAATTTTTGTGCGTGTATCGTTAATAAAACATTAAAAACAAGCCGATTAAACCGGCGTTTATGTCGCAACCTGAGTGGCTTTAGAATGAGTGAAATTTCTACCACTGCAAAATTTTGGGTAGTGTTCTCCAAGCAAATGCATTGAAGAGAATTTCGATACCTGTATGATCAATTAAAATTTCCAGACAGCGACAGTGGCCATATGGTAAGTATGTCAGGATTGTATCTAAGTTTGAGATAATTATATTATAATGTTTACCAGGGTTGCATATAAGATTCTTTTAAAATTAAAAACTTCTTATTTCTTACATTAATATAAGAAGATATACAGTAAGAAGAAATAAGATAAGAAGATTTGCCAACCCTGATGTTTACAGTGCATGATTGTTGGATTATTAAATTTTGGTAAAGGATGATACTCTAGTAATTTTGTTCCGAATTTAAATGACCTCTAACTCAATTCGAGTAAACTTGGAAGTTAATAAAATATATCCGGCTGACCTTCATACCCTGTTATAATATTATAGGATTCAGAATTATACTCTAATTAAAACCTGTGGAGTGAGCAGGACAAGGAGCTAGAGATGGAATTCAGGGAAGAGGACAATCAATGAATTTTCAGGTGGATCTATCAACCACACCCAGAAAATGTTCCAGTTTAATACAAATGTGCCTGGCTATGGTTGTTGCAATCAAAAACATTCTGGTCCTTTTCCATGCGTTACTGATATAGATCTCCCTATTAAAGGGAGGATCATTTTAGATATTTAAAAAAAAAAACTTGGGGTACCTGGCACCTGTTAGTTAAAGGGTATTGGCAATAAATTTTTTTATTTTTGCTATCAGTTAAATTTGACCTCCTGATTACGAATATGTTATTATTTTTCACCCAAACTGTTTTGTTCTCGAGTTATTTCATGGTAAATATTCGGTTTGGCCGCCTTGATCCTTGTGACATCAGGTGCAGGGGAGATCAACAACAACAAATATATTTTATAGGCGCATCTAGCGATGTCGCAGTTCTTTCAAGAGATTTCGCGCTTCTCAATTACTTGAATGTAAAATAACCATTATAAACAAATAGAAGAGGTATTGCCCTATCAATTTGAAACCAAATCAGGTTGAAAAGCCAAGCAATGCATTGCGTAGAGTGACTCATAGATGAGAGTCAATCGTCTGATGAGGAGTCGACCATGCGTTTTAGGCTAAAAATGCTTGGTGTCTGGAGAGTCTGAAGGCTATTAAATCGTTATGTTGGCCTGAAAAAGCGTTGGAATACGACAAGAACGATGAGGCTTGATGAGCTAAATGTCCGTAAACCGCATTCATGGTTATTGGTTCCCGCGATAGACTTGCAACATTTCATGATCATGAAATGAACGTTATTGCATGTTCGCAAATGAAAGAGTTATTCACAAGATCAAAATCTATAAATCTATAAATGTTATTTACAAGATAAAAATGGTCTTACAGTTGACGTAAGCTTGAGTTGGAGGTCATATTGATGAAATTTCTAAACATTTTTACTGGTAATATCATGAGTTAGTGCTCTGACTAACGGATGTCATGTTTACATAGGGTCAGTATCCAATTGTATAACTTGATTCGTAGCGCAATTTTAGCAGTCTGAATTTCTTATACTGAAAAGATGCTGTGTATGCTGACCCTATATTAACCTTAACAAGATGCACAAACATACTTATAGATATACTAGTAGGATACCAAAAGGACAAATTTGTTTTTGTGTTGCGCATTAATAAGCGGCAACATGAACAAGTCCTATCGAGGCCAATGTGGCCAGTATATAGCTGGTATGAGTGATATGTTATTTATTCCTTGATGATGTCGGTTAAATTCTCGACTTCAATTCGACACAAGCGAAATAAATAGGCATTTAGTGAATAATGAGTAAATGTACATCCTTTTCCTGATCGTCGTGTACGGTCACTACGTTGTACTTCGAGATCAGTATAAAAATTCTCCAAGTACAAATTAGACGAGCAGGCGTAAATTAATTGGCATAGTACTGAGCTATAATGATAATCAGCGCTTTTACGACGGCGAAATAAATGCGTTTATATTTAAATGTACAATTAAAGCGCACAGTAGGGTAGTAGCGCTCAGTTTTTATCCAATTGGAAGGAAAAAAATGGTTTATCTGTTGTTTCTGGTGAAACTCATCTTAGAACGCGCTTGCACGCATGCTATTATAAAACTGCTTCCCCTGCACCTGACGTCACAAATTTATTTTCACATAAATTAGCATATGGGTTTTTTTTCAAGATGGCGGATGACTGTCAAATGCTTTCGCATATATCTAAGCAACTAAACGCAATGGACAAGTAGAAATAGGAAATTAAGTATTCCGTTGATATGCTTAATTGATATCAAGAATAAAAAAATTTATTGCCAATACCCTTTAAATTGCAATGCACAATGCTTAAAACATATTTCACACAATCCATTCCTTGCTACAAACTACAAATTTTAATGAAACTCCTCAGCATATTATTAATTAATACAGGCTTAAATTGTATGGTAGTATCTTATTTCAGTAAGAAAATCCATCAAATATTAAAATATACCAACACAGCAGTTAATACATTGTTTTTTCGTTGACTTAAATTACTTGTTTATTCCTGATAGCCATAATAATTAGAACTCACCAGTGTTAAAACACTGAAGCAGCAGTGATCTACTTATATGGATACTAGTATGTGCGGTTTACTATTGTAAGACATACGTTTTCTTTTAGGTGGAATGCATTTCAGGTCTTATAAGTTCCACATACTCACAGTCATTGTTTCTAAATGCTAGACAATTCCTGGTCTATAGTCTATTTGGCTGATGGGTTTTAATCAGTCCTTTGATCAAAATGCAGGGACATGAGGATATGTTAGACTCAATTTTGCTTCGGTTGTAACTTGTATCACCAATCAGATTCCATCAATGATGCCCTTATAACTGGACTTGACAACTGGTACCTAAAGAAGAATTCTAATTATCAATCTTATTCCAATATATAATTGAATAATATGATATAAGTATATTATTTTTATTCCTGTTTAACAGTCTTAAACATGATGTGTTCAAAAGTAGTAAATTAACAGGATGGAATTTCAAAAAAATATCAAAAGTAACTAATAGTTTTTCCACCAAATAAATGTAATATTTTACATAAACATTCAATAAATGTGACATCCAGACTGACCTGTGAGGGCTGCGAAGCATTTATACGGAAAGTCTTTGTACGCCGGAAATACTTGTGAAGGCACCAATTACACCCTATTTTTAATGAAGTTTATAATACCGGGTCTTTCTATGGTCTTTCACACAGTTCCGAACTGGAGACAAAATGCGCGCAAATAATATCGAGGATTCGAACGCCAGACAATTTGTTACACTTTAATCTCTATTTACGCTTGATTTTGAAATATTTCCTCGAAGCAATATATTTGCGAAAATACACTTCAGACACATCTATTACACATATGAAAATTATTCATTGACTTTCATACTTTAGCACATGCGCAAACGCGAACGATAAGCCGCAAACACCTCGTATAATTATAATGACCATAGGGCCATTTATAGGAGGAAAAATAAGTCACGAGTCGACTTATTTAATTAAGACGCGACTTAAGTAAGATGCGACCTCGTCGTATAAACGAACCAAAATGCTTGTTCGCGTGTTAGGTAAGACCCGTGCCATGTAAGTCGCGACTTAGATAAGAACAGAGATTTTACCTGTTCATATTTTAGACGCGTCTTAATTAAATTAAAAACGGCCGAAAAAGTCAGAAATCAGAATTGCTGAAAATGTAAGCAAAGCTGACACCATAAAGAGATAAATTGCAGCAAAAAAAAGCGATACGTGGAGCGGCAACAACATTAAATACGGAAATAATAAGCGAAAAAATCATCTAACTATTTATACCAGCTCGCGTCTTATTTAAGTCGCGTCTTAAATAAGTCACGACTTATTTTACTTCGTATTTGGCCCTACCATAATATCCAGACTAACGAAATTTGAGTACTTTGAGTAATTTTCGGTTTGATTAAGAGTGATGACTAATGTTTAACCTAGTTCTTTATATTTTTTACCATAAGTTAAATGTTTATGTAGGGACAAACGTCTGGTTGCTTAGAGGCATGAAAACTTTGCACTATCCTAGTCTATCTTGAAAAACGATGTGAAAATTATAGTACAAGTCCTGATAGTTATTATCGTGACTAAACAAAATGTCCTCCCATATCTTACATGTATCTAAAATTATTACAGGAAAATGTCACAAGTTACCTTATTGTACGGTTAATCATTTCCTCTCTGTGAAGGATCGCTAAGTACACTCGTTCGCTGCACTGATTCGTAACTAAATAAAATTTACGTACATATGTAATCCCACCCAAAAAGTGGAACTGACTGGGATAAGAAACTTTCTGATTTGATGGAAAGAGCTAGCGCAAGAATACCTGATGATTTTGATGAGTAACTAAGAGAACTAAGAATTGGCTGAGGATGTGAAGACGTATATATACCAGCAAATTGCCAACAAATTCATTGCAAATTTGACTCTAAATTTTTGGGTGATGTTACGAATTATTCGTAACTTTGTGGGACTATCAAAAATGCAGTTTATAACAACAAAGAACTTACAAACAACTTTACAAGTTCAATTACTAATTTCGTTTTTGGGCATTCGCAAAATTAAATATAGCTAGCCATAACACAGCAAATAATCGCCGCGAACGCCTGAGTCTTGATAAAATCGCCGCACACGCGCACGCATGTATTGAAAACTTGTAGGGATGACTTTATGGGGACCTGAGTGTACAGTAAGTCCTCACAGTGTAAATTCTTGCACAAGTCTGATGTGTTGAAAACTTGTAGGGATGACTTTATGGGGACCTGAGTGTACAGTAAGTCCTCAATGTGAAAGTTCCTGAACAAGTCCTGATGTGTTGAAAACTTGTAGCAATGACTTTATAGGGACCTGAGTGTACAGTAAGTCCTCACAGTGTGAAAATTCTTGCACAAGTCCTGATGTGTTGAAAACTTGTAGGGATGACTTTATGGGGACCTGAGTGTACAGTAAGTCCTCACAGTGTAAAAGTTCTTGCACAAGTCCTGATGTGTTGAAACTTGTAGGGATGACTTTATGGGACCTGTGTACGCTACGTACAAGTCCTCACAGTGTAAAAGTTCTTGCACAAGTCCTGATGTGTTGAAAACTTGTAGGGTTGACTTTATGGGTGAGTGAAAATATAAGCCGCTATAATTAACAAACTGTTGTGAAGAGGCAATTTACCTATCTTCACCAAACTTTTCTTACAATTTGCAATGCAATTCTACTCCCGCCATCTAATGTTGTCAAATACGAACATTTATTACGACCTGCTAACTTTTTTAAAATTTCGAACACTCGCTACAATCTAACATCCCTCAAAACTATAATTGCACTAAGAGTTGCAAGAAAATTGCATAGTGTAACAGTGACAGAGTAGATTTTGTTAAATGTTAACAAAAATTGTAATAAACTTACCACATGCATCATTAAAAAACTCTCAGTCAAAGTTTGCTTAATAGTGATCTTTTAAATGGGTCAATGTAACAAAGGTCAAAAGGATTTCTCACATGTTCCATCCTAAAAATATATATTGCAGGGAAAAAGATGTTAGGAGTAAAATAGATACTATTTCATCTTAAATAGCAAATATATTACCTATGCTGTGTTTATAAAGTGTAACTAAAAAGATATAAATAACTAAGAGTTAAAGACACAGACAGGAAAAATAACTTACCAAAATGATTTGCTGTAAAAGTATACGAATGTGCTGTGAAACAGTCAGTCTAGGAAATAGAGAATTGTGTTAAATGATTATATTATGCACAGGAAAAATAAATATGTCCATGTCAGAAACTTGCATGGCCACGTACTTGGCTTGTCATATAGCCAAAGTAAGAATATGCTTGCATTTTGTATCTAAAAGTCATTTAAAGCACAGTAGCAGCAATGAGGGAGGGACTCTATCGCACTTAAAACTTTATCGTGTTTTTTTAAAACAGAATCTCTCAAGAATTTTGATAGGCAAACTATTTACAGGTGCATTAGGTGCGTAGGTGCGAGATTACACCCTTTCAAGATATAAGGGTTCAGAGTTATATAACCTAAGGATCAAAGATCCAAAGTTTCAGTGCCCTCCCAATGCATTAATGAGCCAACATCACGTCTGTCGCAAAACAATTTTAACTTTTGCTCATGCAACTCGCAGTACACAGTTTCAAAGAACTTAAATCATGTTCCCTGCAATATTCAATTACATTATTGAATTCTATTTTAAGTTGCTCATGCGTTGCTCATTGCATATTTTTTGTTTGTGTCTAAAGGTCTATTGCACAGTGCCCCGTGTGGTGCATTGGATTTAAACGAAAGAATTAAAATCGTCAAAAAAAGGGAATACATTTCTAGTAAAATGGTGCATGGAAGAACACGAAGAAACGTTCAAAAGATGCCAGCAATTCGGTTTAGAAACATGCATGGAGTTAAAATAAAGTTACAGATCAACAAAATTGGTCGCAAACGGGGACGACTAAGCAATAGACAATTTATGCACTGAACCGACCATCATTTGATTCAGAACAAACAATCAAGGGGTGACAGAATTTGAACACTAATTAATATCCTAGGAATCCAAAGCATAAGAGTAAAATAGATTATTTTCATTCTAAATAGCAAATATATTGCCTATGCTGTGTTTATAAAGTGTCACAATAAAAAGATATAAATAACTAAGAGTTAAAACACAGACAGGAAAAATAACTTACCAAAATGATTTGCTGTAAAAGTATACGAATGTGCTGTGAAACAGTCAGTCTAAGAAACAGAGAATTGTGTTAAATGATTAATATATTATCCATAGCAAAAACAAATATGTCCATGTCAGAAACTTGCATGGCCACGTACTTCGCTTGTCATACAGCCAAAATAAGAATATGCTTGCATTTTGTATTTAAAAGTCATCTAAAGCACAGTAGCCGCAATGAGTGAGGGACTCTGTCGCACTTAAAACTTTACCGTGTCTTTTAAAAGAGAATCTCTTAAAAATTTTGATAGGCAGACTATTTACAGGTGCATTAGGTGCGTAGGTGCGAGATTACACTCTTTCATATAAGGGTTCAGAGTTATATAACCTAAGGATCCAAAGATCCAAAGTTTCAGTGCCCTCCCAATGCATTAATGAGCCAACATCACGTCTGTCGCAAAATAATTTTAATTTCTGCACATGCAACTCGTAGTATACAGTACTCAAAAACTTAAATCATGTTCCCTGCAATATTCAATTGCATTATTGAATTCTATTCTAAGTTCCTCATGCGTTGCTCATTGCATATTTTTTCTTTGTCTTCTTTTGTATTTTTTTTGTGTCTAAAGGTCTATTGCAAAGTGCCCCATGTGGTGCATTGGATTTAAACGAAAAAATGAAAATCATCAAATAAAGGGTTACATTTCTAATAATATGGTGCATGGAAAAACACGAAGAAATGTTCAAAAGATGCCAGCAATTTGCTTTAGAAACATGCATGGAGTTACAATAAAGTTACAGAATTACAAAATTGGTCGCAAACGGGCACGACTCAGCAATAGACAATTTATGCACTGAACCGACCATCATTTGATTCAGAACAAACAATCAAGGGGTGACAGAATTTGAACACTAATTAATATCCTAGGAATCCAAAGCATAAGAGTAAAATAGATATTATTCCATCTTAAATAGCAAATATATTGCCTATGCTGTGTTTATAAAGTGTCAATAAAAAGAAAAATAACTAAGCGTTAAAGACACAGACAGTAAAAATAACTTACCAAAATGATTTGCTGTAAAAGTATACGAATGTGCTGTGAAACAGTCAGTCTAAGAAACAGAGAATTGTGTTAAATGATTATATTATCCATAGGAAAAACAAATATGTGCATGTCAGAAACTTGTATGACCACGTCTTCGCTTGTCATATAGCCAAAATAAGAATATGCTTGCATTTTGTATTTAAAAGTCATTTAAAGCACAGTAGCAGCAATGAGGGAGGGACTCTGTCGCACTTAAAACTTTACCGTGTCTTTTAAAACGAATCTCTCGAGAATTTTGATAGGCAGACTATTTACAAGTGACTAAGGTGTGTAGGCACGAGATTACACCCTTTCAAGATATAAGGGTTAAGAGTTATATAACCTAAGGATCCAAAGATCCAAAGTTTCAGTGCCCTCCCAATGCATTAATGAGCCAACATGACGTCTCTCGCAAAATAATTTTAACTTCTGCTCATGCAACTCGCAGTATACAGTACTCAAAGAACTTAAATCATGTTCCCTGCAATATCCCATTGCATTATTGAATTCTACAGTATTTTAAGTTGCTCATGCGTTTGCGCATTGCATATTTTTTCTTTGTCTTCTTTTGTTTTTTTTTGTGTCTAAAGGTCTATTGCAAAGTGCCCCATGTGGTGCATTGGATTTAAACGAAAAAATGAAAATCATCAAAGAAAGGGTTACATTTCTAATAATATGGTGCATGGAAGAACACGAAGAAATGTTCAAAAGATGCCAGCAATTTGCTTTACAAACATGCATGGAGTTACAATAAAGTTACAGAATTACAAAATTGGTTGCAAACGGGCACGACTCAGCAATAGACAATTTATGCACTGAACCGACCATCATTTGATTCAGAACAAACAATCAAGGGGTGACAGAATTTGAACACTAATTAATATCCTAGGAATCCAAAGCATAAGAGTAAAATAGATATTATTCCATCTTAAATAGCAAATATATTGCCTATGCTGTGTTTATAAAGTGTCACTATAAAAAGATATAAATAACTAAGAGTTAAAGACACAGACAGGAAAAATAACTTACCAAAATGATTTGCTGTAAAAGTATACGAATGTGCTGTGAAACAGTCAGTCTAAGAAACAGAGAATTGTGTTAAATGATTATATTATCCATAGGAAAAACAAATATGTGCATGTCAGAAACTTGTATGACCACGTTCTTCGCTTGTCATATAGCCAAAATAAGAATATGCTTGCATTTTGTATTTAAAAGTCATTTAAAGCACAGTAGCAGCAATGAGGGAGGGAATCTGTCGGACTTAAAACTTTACCGTGTCTTTTAAAACGAATCTCTCAAGAATTTTGATAGGCAGACTTTACAAGTGACTAAGGTGCGTAGGCACGAGATTACACCCTTTCAAGATATAAGGGTTAAGAGTTATATAAACTAAGGATCCAAAGATCCAAAGTTTCAGTGCCCTCCCAATGCATTAATGAGCCAACATGACGTCTCTCGCAAAATAATTTTAACTTCTGCTCATGCAACTCGTAGTATACAGTACTCAAAGAACTTAAATCATGTTCCCTGCAATATCCCATTGCATTATTGAATTCTACAGTATTTTAAGTTGCTCATGCGTTGCGCATTGCATATTTTTTCTTTGTCCTCTTTTGTATTTTTTTTGTGTCTAAAGGTCTATTGCACAGTGCCCCGTGTGGTGCATTGGATTTAAACGAAAGAATTAAAATCGTCAAAAAAGGGAATACATTTCTAGTAAATGGTGCATGGAAGAACACGAAGAAATTCAAAAGATGCCACAATTCGCTTTAGAAACATGCATGGAGTTACAATAAAGTTACAGAATTACAAAATTGGTCGCAAACGGGTACGACTCAGCAATAGACAATTTATGCACTGAACCGACCATCATTTGATTCAGAACAAACAATCAAGGGGTGACAGAATTTGAACACTAATTAATATCCTAGAAATCCAAAGCATAAGAGTAAAATAGATATTATTCATCTAATAGCAAATATATTGCCTATGCTGTGTTTATAAAGTGTCATTATAAAAAGATATAAATAACTAAGAGTTAAAAACACAGACAGGAAAAATAACTTACCAAAATCATCTCTGTAAAAGTATACGAATGTGCTGTGAAACAGTCAGTCTAAGAAACAGATAATTGTGTTAAGTGATTATATTATCCATAGGAAAAAAAATATGTCCATGTCAGAAACTTGCATGGCCACGTACTTGCTTGTCATATAGCCAAAGTAAGAATATGCTTGCATTTTGTATTTAAAAGTCATTAAAGCATATAGCAGCAATGAGGAGGGACTCTGTTGCACTTAAAACTTTACTGTGTTTTAAAAGATAAACTCTCAAGAATTTTGATAGGCAGACTATTTACAGGTGCATTAGGTGCGTAGGTGCGAGATTACACCCTTTCAAGATATAAGGGTTCAGAGTTATATAACCTAAGGATCCAAAGATCCAAAGTTTCAGTGCCACTCCCAATGATTAATGAGCCAACATCACGTCTGTCGCAAAATAATTTTAACTTCTGCTCATGCAACTCGTAGTATACAGTACTCAAAGAACTTAAATCATGTTCCCTGCAATATTCAATTGCATTATTGAATTCTATTCTAAGTTGCTCATGCATTGCTCATTGCATATTTTTTTGTCTTCTTTTGTATTTTTTCGTGTCTAAAGGTCTATTGCACAGTGCCCCATGTGGTGCATTGGATTTAAACGAAAAAATGAAAATCGTCAAATAGAGGGTTACATTTCTAATAATATGGTGCATGGAAGAACAGAAGAAATGTTCAAAAGATGCCAGCAATTTGCTTTAGAAACATGCATGGAGTTACAATAAAGTTACAGAATTACAAAATTGGTCGCAAACGGGCACGACTCAGCAATAGACATTTATGCACTGAACCGACCATTATTTGATTCAGAACAAACAATCAAGGGGTGACAGAATTTGAACACTAATTAATATCCTAGGAATCCAAAGCATAAGAGTAAAATAGATATTATTCATTCTAAATAGCAAATATATTGCCTATGCTGTGTTTATAAAGTGTCACAATAAAAAGATATAAATAACTAAGAGTTAAAAACACAGACAGGAAAAATAACTTACCAAAATGATTTGTGTAGAAGTATGCAAATGTGCTGTGAAACAGTCAGTCTAAGAAACAGAGAATTGTGTTAAATGATTATATTATCCAGAGGAAAAATAAATATGTCCATGTCAGAAACTTGCATGGCCACGTACTTGGCTTGTCATATAGCCAAAGTAAGAATATGCTTGCATTTTGTATTTAAAAGTCATTTAAAGCACGGTAGCAGCAATGAGGGAGGGACTCTGTCGCACTAAAACTTTACCGTGTCTTTTAAAACAGAATCTCTCAAGAATTTTGATAGGCAGACTATTTCTAGGGGAAATAAGTGTATATATTTTAAATCAGCAGCATATATATAAACACATTTTATGACTATATATTGCACCAAATCATAAAAATATTTGCTATGGATGCTTGCCAGTACTAATTCATTTAATATTATAAACTTGCTATTCCATATTATAAAATGGCAAGGGGTGCTTCATGCATGAATTTCTAGTATAACTACATCAACAACTTAATTAGTATTATGCAAAGATAAAATCAACCAGAAGTGCTGGAACCATGCGGGCAGCTGCCCCCCCCCCCTGCCCTTTGTTCATGGGGGCAGCTTGCCTTTTATATATTCATAGACATTGCATGTATATCTTTTCAGTCTTACTATACATAATCCAAGTTATGATCGCTGATGTGGTTGCGAAACAAGTGTAAACAGGCCTTAAAGTGCCCTCTTTTGAGTTGCTGCCCCCCTGCCCTTGACTGCTTCCAGTGCGTCTGAAGTCAACAAATCCTAGCCTGATAAACATCAACCTCGTTCAGCATACTACAGGTACAAAAGTTCTTCTTGCACACAGAAGAAAATATATAACTTACCAATCTTGCAGTAGAGGTATGAGCATGTTGCATAACAGTCAATCTAGAAAACAGAGAATAATTTAAAACCTATGTACAAAGAAAAATTTTGCTGATTAACAGTAATGCTTTTCAATGACTTTATTATTAAATGTAGGTGCTATTACAATCAGATCTTGGGTCTTTTACAAGAAAGCATATCACAAAGTTTAAGAAATTAATTGAAATTTCCAGATAAGTAAGAGTTTGCTGTTTAACATTTTCTATGCCGTAACCCTTGTTGAATCAGCCATAAATTGTGCACATGGGTATAAACCAACTTAATGAGTTCCAGCTTGCGAATGTTAACATTTGGTTGGAATCCTTTCATCATTATAGTTTTATTTGAAGACTTTACAAATTCCAAAATATTGTTAAAAAGTAGTGATGACAGCAAAAATGGCTAAAATTAAAGCTGGTGGAAATAAAGAATGTAACATCCAAAATAGGGAGACTATACAGAATTCTCTTTGATTTAACAAGCACATATCTTTACAGTGAATTGGCATTACTTCAATCTATCAGTTTAAACCAGCATCTTGTGTTAAAATATTTATATATTTCTCAAGAACACTCTTTACCTCCCTTCTTCCATGTACAGATTATGAGAGCTCAGATACACATATTATTTTAGAAACTAGGGTAATTTATTTAGTAAAATCAGGTAAGTATTTTCCTGGGTTGACCAACCAAGTTACCATCTAGTTCATCTGAATGGACCAACTGAACAGCTGAGCAATCTTTTTGTAACAAGTAAGCATTTTGACCAAATCAAGCTTGAAACTTAAAACTTTGCTAAGAGCTACCTTAAAGTGATCTGATGTTGTACTGAACTTACTGCTGCATGGTGAGATCATGAAGAGGTGGCACATGTTCTTGAATGATATAGAATTCAGGCACATGAAAGGTGATATATGTACATGTAGAATTATTTATACCACTCAAGTATAAAGTAAAGTTGTTTAGACTTTAGAAGTAAAGCTACAATTTCATTGCCATAAAATTGAACCAGCAACACCTAATATTAAAGTCGTTTTCTGTGGTGTAAAAACATTCTCAACGGTATTAACGAGCATTTTTCACATAAATAATATCTTAACTTCATGAATATTCAAAACACAAACATGCAAATACTTATTAAAATGAAGTCGGATTTTATAGTTGTAAATTATTCAACAACCAAGAAATAACAACATACCTGGCAATAAACCAGCAACTAAAGCATAACTTGAGATTTTTGGCTTAAACATATACCAAATAGTACTGGAAATATTTCTTTACATTTCACATTTGCTGAAGAAAAACAACCGCCATTCTATTTGCAAGCCGCGAGGTCGAACCACTGAGCCGAACTCCGAAGCGCCAGCGGCGCGCCGCGGCCGAAACCTGGAGGCAAGGATGTCACAAAATGTCACTGTCATTACTGCCACTGGATTCTGGATGTCACTCAACCCCACTCAACACTCGACGAGAGTCGCCGTCGATTCAAAAAGGCCTTGAAGACGAGGATGAATTTTTGCAGACTACCCGTTCATTGCCTTGTGGTTGCAGTGGCGTAATGACAGGGTGTCAGGGTGTCAAATGACGGGGGCCCTGGGGCCGGTTGTTCGAAAGGCGTTTAGCTTAAACGGTGGATAAGTTCAAAATGGAAAGCAAAACTATTTATTCATTGAACAACTGAGCTGAAATATTTCGATGTAAATAGCTTCATTGTCAATGGAAGTACATATTTAATACATAAGATGCATATTTAGTCATTCACAAGATGCATGAGAGTAATTTTAAACTTTGGCTTATCCACCGTTTAAGCTAAACGCCTTTCGAACAACCGGCCCCTGAAGTTTAGGGCCCCCGAAAAAAATTGCCCTGAAAAATTGATAACACATTTATGGAAAATAGAATTACTTTCTACGCACTCGGGTATATAGGCAGCTGTTAACATTATTTCATTATAAATTTTATTATAATTTACTATGCGCAATCTCAGCGTAGTAATATATTTTTTTCTCTGGCTCTTGATTGCCACCATAATGGCAACAAATATATTTGGACTAGGGGGCCGATCATATGAGACGGGCAAGCCCGGTTTTGTCGGACTAGCTCGCTTTTGCCGGGGTAATTCTTATTCGCAATCATAGGAGCCAGCCTGGCCCCAAACAATTATGTAATTCATTGTTTTTTAGCCGCCAATTCAAAGTTAACACGAGAAAGTGAAGTTAGTGCGATCCTAGCGAGCATGGTATGGGTATCGATTACTGACCTGGTATCCTTCGTTACTTGCATCTCTTTTCAGTCCAGGCAAACGTTGATTGGAATATTTTCTATTTTTCTCAAATGATTTTGTTTTTGGAAAATAAATCGTGAACATGCAAAGAAAAATTCCGCTCCGCGAGCAAAATTCCGCGTTGTTGCTGGAAACTGCCATTAGGGAAAACAGGCTTAAGGCTGCATTTTCACTTACAGAGAAATGGTTTGCCAGCGAAATATTTTCAAATTTTCTTTTGAAATTAAACCAGGGAATATTAGGAAATATTCAAATATTTTGCTAGTGAACTATTTCTCTGTAAGTGGAAATCCACCTTAAAGCAGGGCCTCTTTTAAGAAATCGTCAATGGGGGGCATGGACAAAGAGGGGGGTTGCAGTGGGGCCGGGGGACCCAGGCTGGGGGGGCATTCGCCCCCCCCAGTTATATAGTTAAAAGAGGCCCTGCCTTAAAGCCAGTCTTCCCTGCACTAGCGTTATTTTCACGCGAAACGACATTTTACTTTTGTTCCACAGCGCTCAACCGCAACCATCTGGAACAAATTGCTCAAAACAAAAGAATAAAGTCGCTTCGCTGGTGGAAAACCAGCTTAATTGAACATATATATTTCATGTGCGAACATATTTCAATGCTATCGCAAAAACTCAATCGCGCGACATTTTGCACTGAATGGAAAAGAAGTTTCACTGTTACTTTCACAAATTTAGTAATCTGATTCTCGATAATTTATCTTCTTCTTAATTGCTCTAAAAGAAATAAACATTAACCTCCATAAATGAAAAATTTGATGAAAATCAGCCGGTTATGAGAGAGTAGTAAAAAATCATAATTTCAAAGTTTCAAGTTTTCGAAAAAATCACCCTAATACAATGCGTCAGGGAAATCTGGACCGGCTTTTACTCACAATATAAAAATTAATTAGGATCTCTCGCTCGCATCAGGTTCGTTAGCTACGGCAGCAAACCTAAAGAACTTCGTCTCCCCTATAATACATGACGAATTTATAGCGTAAACAAGTAATAACTATGGGCCTGGGGCCGGTTGTATCAAGCCTGTTTAGCTTAAACGGTGAATAAGTCAAAATTAAATAACACTCTTACATCTCTCTTGAATGAGTGAAATTGAATATTATGCACTAAATACGTAGTTGTAAACAGTATCTTTGTATTAAGGGGTAAAAACATTTAGTTCGCTTGTTGAGTAAAACGATAGACTTGCTTTCTATTTTGAACTTAACCACCGTTTAAGCTGAACGGGTTTGATACAACCTGCCCCAGTTGTATAAAACTCGTAGGTTAACTCAAGTAGATATACAGTACTCTGATTGGTCAATTCTGTCACTAACTATGATTAAGAGTTAACTAGGCTACATTTTTATACAACCGGCCCCTGGTCGTCAAATTGCTGCCCGTTCGCTACATTCAGGGACCGCGGAGCGTTTCTCGTATTGCTGGGGCTCTGAACCGCGCACCTGCCAGGAGAGTCCGCGAAAATTTTGAAATATACCTAGGCCTCTGAAATGGCCGCAAATGCCTCGCAATTTTAGGATTATTTTAAAGTTTCCAGCATGTTTGGCACTCATATACAAACATTAAACAATATAACCATGCTTATGATGTTAAATATTTTGATATGGATAACCACGCAGGTTTAATGGTCTAATTCTGGTGCTATGTAAAGTTTCAAGCATGTTTGGTGCTCATATATTATACAAACATTTATATAAAGTTGCAACTTGCAAACATCGAATATGGCCGCCGGAAAAAGGTATACTCCACCATGGTCTGAAAAGGATGACCACGCTGTTTTAATGGTCAAATGCTGGTCCTATATGTAAAGTTTCCAGCATGTTTGGGCTCATATACAAACATTAAACAATATAACCTTGCTTTGGTTATGATGTCAAATATTTTGATATGCATGGATAACCACGCAGGTTAAATGGTCTAATATTAATTCTGGTGCTATGACAGGCAGAGTGATGACAGACAGACCTATGTAAAGTTTCACGGAAAACGGTAACGGGAAACGGTACACTCGACCATGGTCGAATATACTGGGAAACGGTACACTCGACCATGGTCGAGTATACAAGCGGAAACGGCATACTCGAGCATGGTCGAATATACCGGAAAACTGCATACTCGACCATGATTTAATTCTGGCCACGCTGTTTTAGTGGTCAATATATACTTCATGTTCCTATTTTGTGGTGATATACAATATATAACAATATAACCATGCTTAGATTATGATGTCAAATATTTTGACATGGATAACCATGCAGGTTAAATGGTCTAATTCTGGTGCTATGTAAAGTTTCAAGCATGTTTGGTGCTCATATACAAACATTTATATAAAGTTGCAACTTGCAAACATCGAATATGGCCGAAAAAACGGTATACTGACAATGGTCGAATGTGCCGGAATGTATCATGGATAGGCACACTGTTTTATGCTGGTCCTATGTAAAGTTTCAAACATGTTTGGTGCTCATATACAAACATATATATATATATAAAGCTGCAACTTGCATGCAAGCATCGAATATGGCCGGAAAACGGTATACTCGACCACGGTCGAATATACCAAAAATATAACATGCATGCTTTGGTTATTATGTAAAATATTTTGACATGGATAACGTGGTTACGTGGTTACGTACGCTGTTTTAATGGTCAAATGCATGCTCGTCTTTTTTTTCCGTCTGTTTTTTTTACATATGTTTGGCCAAACATATGTTATGAACATAACTAATTTCATAGCGGATTCATTACGACAGATATCGTTGGAAATTAGAATACTGATTTCTTAATTTGAATTGGTTATTAAGATTATACGTTGAAAAAGTAAAAGCTTCGAACGATAGTATTCATGATAAGATACACTGCATATGCTTGCATGCAAGCAGAAAGTATAAATTGCTAAGAATATTGCTTGTAAATTTGAGCGAACTAAAAAATATTCGAAATTAAAGACCAATTACCCTGCTCCGCGGTTTCTGTTAACATGCTAAAAAAAGATCCTGTTCATTGTGACATATTGTAAATGTAAAATTATTTTATTTCACGCTAAAGTCCCTACTTTTAAGTTTTCTGCGCACAAACAGGGAATATATAGACTATATATGGACACCGTTCATATTTTGAACTGCCAATTTTAATAATTGGTTTGGAAATTAAAATATATGTTCTGCCATCTCTGTCACAGGTACTGTGGTATACAATGCGCTGAAGAAAAATTTTGGTTAGGCTTCGAATTGTAAATTAGGTTATGTTATGAGGTATATTATTAGAGTTACCTGCGTTAAAGACGTTATGAGCGTTATATAGGTGTTATGAGCATTAAATACGGGCATTACTATTATTATATTACTTACATACAAATTTAACGATATTTAGGAAGTGATATCAAAGGTCGAGAAAAGATTTGTAAAATGAGCTCCTTTTCTCATTAGGTGTCTGATTCCATAGTTTGCCCCATTTTTATTAGCAACAAAGCAAAAGCTTGGTTTATCAGTGAATTCATAAACGCTTCGAAATAGATCACACATGTAGCCTATACTGGGCAGACATGTAGTCTACTGGGCAGGGGCGTGGTGGCAGGGGAAGTGCGGGACCCCTGTCCCTGCCCCTAGGCCTGCGACGATTTTAAGAGTGGCGCCGAAATGCCGGTGGGGCGTCAAAATCAAATATCAAAATCAATAGGAATGATAAGTGTTCAAAGGCCGACACACACTGGACACGATTCGCTAACGCGATGCGATTTTTACGATTTTTTTAGTTTTCAAAAGCTGCTAATTTTAACCATGTTCTGATATTCTTGATAATTACCGATTAAATGTGCATTTTGACTGGTCTGGTACCCATATCTCGCAAGATGTTCTTTAAGAATTTAATTTACTTGTTTCTTAAAATAAAAAATTCGCGTTGTGTTAGTGAAGTGCGTCCAGTGTGTGTGGGCCACTCTTAACATTGAAATACTGGCGTTGATTTTGAAGCAATAAAACCAGGGACGCGCACTGGGGTGCGGGAGGAGTGACACTAGCTCTGGGAAAGTTAGTGTAAAAAGTTGGTCCAAAACCTTGTATGCGACGAAAATGTCTTTTCGGAAACCCGTTTGGGACGAAAAATGTCGGCCTACTTAAATACGAATGACGTTATTTTTTATCGAGTATGCATAGTAACCATTATTTGTTAATGAAACTTGTAGCTAACATACTATATACCAAATAAGGAGATATGGAAAAACTTGAAGAATACGGGGTGCACGCGGAAATGAACTCAATCTTATTCCCGATTATCTAC